CAAAAGCTATCTTTTGAGATAACTGATATGTTCAGGTTTTTCACTTACTTAAAATACCAATTTGCAATCAGTTGATTTATCCAGTATCAATTTGCTTTAAGTGCAGATGGATGTACCTGCTCAAATAGAAACTCTCTTTGCTTTGTGTGGAAATCCTGGACAGTCTGATTGAACAAGCCTCAATACATGTTAACATGTTTAAGGACACTGCCATGTGTACAAAATAGTCTGGCATGCCTTTGAAGGACTAAAGCTAAAAGCACTATTATGAGTGCAATGCCATGCCCGTGTTTTTGTGTTGCAGTTGCTACCCCATCCTCTCCAAGAAGAACGAGCTTTGTACAAGAGGGCATTAAGGGAAGGGATCTAGTAGGATATGTAGCTACTCAGTTTTGATTTAGACTTTGGACTTGGCTGACGAGAAAATCAGCCACCTCTGCGTTTAAGATTTTCTGGAATGAGGATCTTGAGGGGCACAAGCTCTGTTGTTGCACTAAACCAGATGTGTTCAGGCTGCAGGAGACTCAGAACTGGTTCGTTCTCAAAGATCTATAGGTTTTGGTGCAACAGCAAGCTGTAGCAAGATTTAACTCAGTATAAATAGGCTCTCTGGCATAAATGTGTGTTACTTGCTTGCTTTCCACGTTAACCTATATTAAACTACGAGTCCAAAGAGTCCTGTGGGAAACTTTGGTGGAATTACCAGACTGCCTTTGAACCCTTAATGTGTTGTTCTGAAGTTCACCCTGGCCAGTTACTCCAGGACACTGAAGGACACAAACCTCTGTCTGGCTTCTCGGTGCTGACTGATTTCTGAACAATGCATTCTCGCTAGCAGCAACCTGGCATCAGCCCAGAGGTCTGAGCCCTGAAACATGCCTCAGAGGCCTGCAGTTGGAAGCAACGACAGGACAGGCTTTTCCCAGTTACGTGTGAACTCGACACCTAGGTACGCTCACACGGTTGACTGTGTAATTGAGGCAACAGGTTGGGTTGTAAAACTCACTTGGGAAAACAGCTCTATGGTGGAACAAGAACAAAAATTAGCAAAATTACTCCTCTCTAACTGGAGCCTCACTAGATGTTTCATGATCGATTCATTCACAACACACTTAGGAAACCCTAGGAACCATCCTCTGCTCTGAGAAAAATGCATACTTTGCTCCTGAATCACAATTTGGCATTGCTGACGCTTGCGTACGTTCTTTTGGAAGTGTACTTTTGGTTCAGAGTGATTAGTTCCTCTAAAATCAGTGCCAGAGACTACTTTGGGTTTTTACTTTAAAAGTGTGGTCATGAAAGAGATGGGATATCAGAATTACGGAAATAGTGATATGTGCCAGATTTTACAAATGACCGTTTTATCTTCAACGCTTTTCAAGTATTATATACATCCAATCTATAAGTGTTAGTCTTGTTTAAGACTGCTAGGTTTCTGGCATGGTCCCTGTTCTCTTGCTATATGGTGGAGAGCTTTCCTGGTCACTGCTAGCTGCTGGGAGACACTTCTTTCTCTGAACTCCCCCTGTGTCACCAACTTTCAAACTTTGTGCAGCTTAATTGGAAGCATTGTTGGCTGTTACCCTTTGGATATTGTGGAACAAAGTATTGGGCAGATAAACACTTAGAACACTCTCATATCTTTGTTCTTAAGATTGCTATGGCCTATGAAGTTCCCTCAATTTAGCCAGTTTCCTTAGCACCACCCATGACTCAAAACCAGTGAAGGCAAAAGCAGAGAAAAGCATTTTGCAGAGCTAAAATAGACACAAGAGTTTGCAAAGGTTTATAAACATACACAGCAAGAGGAGTAGAAATTTACCCATCCATCTCATAAAGGGTTTTCTCCCCCTTTATATCATCGGATAAGCTGGTAAACATTTCACGGCTTTCCTCTCCGAGAGCTCCATGGCTCAAGCCAACTTTTCATCCTGATATTGTCAACATGGAAGAATTCCAGTACAAGAATCCCTTGTCTCCTCTAATTAGTGTTAGTGAAATGAATAGGGAAGCAAACTAGCCCTTCTACGCAAAAAATCCCAAGCTTCCCACTTGGGAAAGAGTAATGGTTCTGTGAGTCTGGAACAGAGGATCTCCTCTAGAGAGTAATGGTTCTGTGAGTCTGGAACAGAGGATCTCCTCTACCATTTAATACGTTAAAACATGCCTTCCCACATTCTTCCAAACCCTTAACCAAGCTGACAGTCCCTTCACATTGGTTTGGAAATTGTTCAAACCCCAAGGTGAAGATGCTTCTTACATTAAATTTTTATAATTCATATTAAAATGTATGTTTACTTCAACTGGAATGCAAATAAAGTTAATGCATGTGGATACAGAGATGGGGATAAGCAACCACTCCGAGTACCCTACAGTCATGTCTTTGAAGAGTGACTAAAAGTGAGCTTATGAGAACCAAAATGAAGGAAGTGAAGGCAAACTCAAGGAGGAAAAGGCACTGAATTGAAAACTATGGACAAGGAAACAATTCCTGAGACCTGTCTCCCTGTCTGGAAAAAATTGCATTTCTAAGTTTGAACATGTTTAATTTTAACATCAAAGTAAAGAATGAGAACTGTATAGAGTTACTACCCAAACCCTGAAGGACAAAACTATGGTTTGAACCGAAAAAGTGATACCTTGGCACAGTGGAAGGGACAGCTGACTAAAACCAGATAAAAAGTAAACACTTACATGATGGAAAGCAAACAAAGCTCTGCTCCAACCAAACGGAGAGGTTGAGCAACTTCATGTGATGGAATACGGGAATGGCAGCACCGGGCACTCACCTGTCTGTTCTGGTAAATACCAGACAGAAGTGAGTGTCCCTGCCCTCACTTCATGAGTGGGGTGCTGGTCATGAGTGGGGGGCCGAATTCGCCACGGGCTGCTTTCGCTTGTGCTACAGGGCATCTACAGTTACGTCCGACATGTTGTGCGTGCACCGCCATGCATGGGTTGGATCTGCTTATTTGAAGATACGAAAGGTCTCTGCTCCCACCAGGTTGCCAACCAGGCGTTAGCCCCGCACCGCAGCAAAGCCCGACGCACCGAGCGGGTCAGGGTTAGCCCGGGCAGGGCTTGCCGTGCAGCCCCGAGGGCAGCCTGAGGGAAAACCGGTGTCCGCACAGTGCTGAAGTCATCTCGGCCACCCTGGGATGACAGCTTGAAGGTGAACTAAACCCAGCGCGGCGGCTAAAGGAAGTGGGTTGATGCCAGAGAAAACAGGGTTAGCCCAAACTCCGGGGAGATGGCCCAAAGGAGGCGACGCAGGAGGCCACCATGAGGGCCAGGTGCTCGCACGCCCTCGGGCGGGGGAGGTGGGAGGTTAGCTGGCCGGCTCCCCGGCCTCCCCACAGCCATGCGGCCTCCGCTAGAAGCAGCCGCCCACCACC